ACCATGAGTGTGAGGGCTTCATCACTCTAATCAGGATTTGAACTGAATTAGAAGTTTGTTGTTGGTATGGTTCTTCTCCGTGCACCACCCACTTCTAGTTCCTCTTGTGATACTTTGAGTTTAGAGTTGGGGCTGGTGTGCTAGAGAATTTTGTCTAATGTCTATCTCAGTGTCAGTCTTAGGTCTTCCTTTAGCCTCACAGTGGTCTGGCTCCATGCTCTTCCACCTTTCCAGCAGTATTCTGTTGTTATTTGCTACTTGATGCCTGTTAGCCAGTGTCCAGGTGCATCTGCCTCAGGTAAATACGTGCTTGTCTCCTCTCTTCCTATAGGTGTCTGGTTCTCCTTAAATTTAGGGCTAGTTTGTTTCCCTGTGACCTCAACTTTCAGTGGAGTCAAGAAAGTTCTGGACTTGCCATTTATCTTGTTTTTTTATTTGTTGTGAGCATGGGAGTGGGGCTCTTCATGTAAATCCTGAGGCTGTTTCCCTTCCCTCTGTGCTTTATAAAATGCCATTTATACATTTTGTACCCATAAATCAGTGGTTTTCTTTTTTTTTTAAATTTTATTTATGATAGTCACACACACACACACACACACAGAGAGAGGCAGAGACACAGGCAGAGGGAGAAGCAGGCTCCATGCACCGGGAGCCCGACATGGGATTCGATCCTGGGTCTCCAGGATCGCGCCCTGGGCCAAAGGCAGGTGCCAAACCGCTGCGCCACCCAGGGATCCCCAAATCAGTGGTTTTCAACTCTGGCCTAAGGAACATTAAACAAAATACAAATTTGGGGCCCCAGTGTTTTAATTGATATATTTGGGGATCCAAGCATGGGTATCTTTTAAATGTTCCACAGGTAATTCTGATGTCTATCTAGGCTGAGAACCCTGGTCTAAGTCTCCCTAACAGTTTTCCCCATCACAGTGATGCTATTCCAGCATAAACCATCAAATAAAATTTGAGGCTGTATACATTCACCTTTGTGACTCCATGGGGTTATTTTCTCCAAATTGTGCCTTCAGGAATACTTGACTGCCTCTGATCTAGACTGATAGTGTCATAGAATGGGGAGAAAACAGAGTTCATCTCATTTAATTTTCTACTAAAATGAATATCCTCCATGTCAATCTATGGCTTTGGCCCTGCTTGAAGTCTCTCAGGGGCTGCAAACTCTCTGCCGTTCAAAACGATAAACCTCAGTGTGAGATAGTTTTATTTGTTAGAGATGTTTTCCTTCTATTGAATTGAAATGACTCCTTCTATAATATCTCAAATAATTTGTCTGATTTGCAGCCTCGCAGACTGTTGTGACAAGTATCTGTGTGCATGACGCAGGACGTGTTCACACGTGCATACACGCATGCACATATACACGTTCATACTCACAACAGGCATTTTATGAAACAAAATTTACTGTAAGTCTTGTACCTCTGAATTGATTTTACGACCCACCAATGGGCTGTTTTTTTTGCAGTGTGGAAGATGCTCCTCCAGCCCGTCTTTCACTAGACAAGCTCTCATTGCAAAGATTTCAGCACAGCTGTCCTGGTACCTCAGCTTGGCCTGGTGTCATGCTGCTTCCTTTGGCCATGTTTCAGCTTCCCCACTGCTCTGGCCAGTGTCACACACTAGTTGGGCTGCACTGTGTGGCATGTTCTGCAAATCAGTGGCTGCGTGCAGAGACCGGGGCTCTTCAGGTGGGCAGATCTGTGCAGAGCCGAGGAAGGGCGCCTTGTCTTTTGGTAGACACTGTATCCAGCTGTGTGGCCCAACCTCAGTGGGATGGGAACTGCAGCCATCTCTTGAGGAACACTGTTGAGGGCTTTGTGATTGTTATGTGTCCTCCCACTTTTGCCCTATTGATAATGCATTATCCTAATTAGCTATGTGTGTATGTTTATTTTCTGAAAGACGGTGAATGCCGTAGACATCAAGAAGAAATTAAAAAAAATTTTTTAAAGATTTTATTTATTCATGAGAGACACAGAGAGCGAGAAAGGCAGAGACCCAGGCAGAGGGAGAAGCAGGCTCCATGCAGGGAGCCTGATGTGGGACTCGATCCCAGGACCCCGGGGTCACGTCCTGGGCTGGAGGCAGGAGCTAAACTGCTGAGCCACCCAGAGATCCCCAAGAAGAATATTTCCTACTTTCTGTCCATGGTGGTCAGCACAACAAAGTTAATTTGTTGCAGTAGCTCTAGAAAGCTGTATTCCCAGTCAAGAAACGCTGGCCTTTTAGCACTATTGCTCTGCTGACAGTCGTGCTATCAACTTATCTGCTTACGAGCACAGGGCTTGACAGCCATGTGTTTGCTTTGGGAAGTAGATAAGCTGGGCGGGTTAGATGAACTTGTCCCCTTAGACAAGTGCCCATGCGTGAGACGCCGTGTCAGGTGCCAGCGAGATGCCTCGTGTTTTATAGCCTGCGGCCTGACCAGGGACACGTGACCCGCAAGGTGGGTGTCCGTGGGTATGCGGTGGGTAGGTCCTCCTGGAGGCCGCAGGGGAAAGGAAGGCTGCACAAGGGGCAGGAAAGACTTGATTTGGGCCTTGGAGGTAAGCATCAGACACATGGAGCGGAAGGTGTTGGGGGGGCATTTGGAGGGAGGAGTGTGCTATTTTAGTAGCCTCCCATGCCCTGCAAAATCTCTGCTGCCTCTGGGAGTGACTTGGATCCATGGGGCTTGGGAGAACTGTAGGTGGGATGTAGAGGAGGATCGAACTTACATGACTTCTATAGCAAGGTTGGCCATGCACAGGCGGTAATAGGCGCAGCCCCTAGCCCCATCCCACGCCTCCGCCTCCGGGGCTCTGCCTCTGACCGGGAGGTCGTGCGTGTTCTGGAAGCTCCCTCTCGTCCTAGCGAGGCTCAGCTTTCCGGAGGCAAGTTCAGGGCTGGCAGCGTTAGCTTTAGGAACACTGGGGTCTTGCTCTAAAACCCGACGGAAGTCTCCAAGCAGCGATCCATAGCCACCGACCCAACTTTTCCTACTTTCTCTTCTCTGAGGTCTCGTGAGCAGACCTATTATTAAGAAATGTACTTTCTCGGGGGGGGGGAGGGCCCGGGGGGCTCAGCGGTGGAGCCCCTGCCTTGGGCTCAGGGGGTGACCCCGGGGTCCCGGGATCGAGTCCTGCACCCAGCTCCCCGCAGGGAGCCTGCTGCTCCCTCTGCCTGGGTCTCGGCCTTTCTCTGTGTCTCTCATGAATAAATAAATAAAATCTTTAAAAAAGAAAAGTGCATTCTCACAGCGTGCTGCATCTACCACTCTCCGAGACTGACTCCATCCTGAGGCCCTTCTGAGTGTCCTTCATACGAAACAGTGACACCATCAAATACTGCATAAAGGTCAGAGGCTGCCTCACTGGTGTCGCACTGGGGACTTTGGGGGAGCGTGTTCTGTGGCGAAGAACAGGACTGGAAGAACGTTATGGAGAAGACACGGTGGGGGGGTATGTTCCGTGTCCTGTAGCAAGGGGTGGCCAGCTCCTCTGATGGCAGCCGGAGGACAGCAGTGAGGCCCGGGGCCCCACTGCCCGGCCTGCACGGGAGGGATTCGGGTTGTGGAGAGGCGGGCTCCGGTCTTGCAGTCCTGGGGGCAGAGGCGGCCTCTCTGCTGGGAGGAACCTCGACCTAAAACAGGTGCCATTGAGATGACTCGCTATAGTTCCCTTTTTGCCTCGGGAGCCAGGAAGCACAGAGCTAAGTGTAAACACACTCAACCACGTGAGGACTTTATTTCAACTCCTAAATAAAAAGATTTCCCATCTGAAATTAGACAATTTCACCTTTTTCAAAAGAGTATCTTTTCGGTTTTTTTTTTTTTTTTACTACCAGGGTGATACATTTTCATTGTAGAAAATGTGGAAAAGGACAGATTGCCGCCCCCCCCAATCAGCTGTTTTCCCGCCACACAGATAGTCACTGTTGAACCATTCTCGTTTCTTCTGACCATGTTTGTCTATATATGTGCATATCTATATATGTTTACAAAAATGAAATGATCCCTTTCAACTGTATTAAAACTCTTTTTTTAAAGCCTGACCTTTAAAATCATTTTCCGAGATCCCTGGGTGGCGCAGTGGTTTAGCGCCTGCCTTTGGCCCAGGGCGCGATCCTGGAGACCTGGGATCGAGTCCCATGTCGGGCTCCCCATGCATGGAGCCTGCTTCTCCCTCTGCCTATGTCTCTGGCTCTCTCTCTCTCTGTATGACTATCATAAATTAAAATAAATAAATAAAATACAATAAAATCATTTTCCATGTCATCATATATTCCTGTACAACATTATTTTTATTTTTTATGCATTTTTAATTTTTTAAAAAATTTATTCATGAGAGAGAGAGAGAGACAGTCAGAAACATAGGCAGAGGGAGAAGCAGGATCCACGCAGGGAGCCCGATGCAGGACTCGATCCCGGGACCCTGGGGTCATGCACTGAGCTGAAGGCAGATGCTCAACCGCTGAGCCCCCCAGCCGTCCCCACAACATTATTTTTAATGGCCAGCATATTTCCTCATGAGGCTGTACCTTGCACGTTTAGCTTGAACTCAGCTTTTTACTATTATAGACAACTCTTGTCATGTGCATTCTTGTAGCTAAATCTCTGTGCAGATCCGCAATGATTTCCTTAGAATAGAAATTCTAGAAGTGACACAATTAAATACCTAAAATAATGAAATAATATTTTTAAGGCTCTAGCTTTATATTCCCGTCTTGCCTCCAGAAAACATGAACTAATCTATTTTATCACCTAAACTCTTGAGAGTGCCTCTTCCCCTAGCCACCTCCAGGACCAGGATCATGATTTGTTAAAATCTGTATTAGGCAGCAGCATGACTGGCTTTGGGCCAGGTGTGGAGGATTTATGAGGACCCCATGAAGCAACTATGGATCTGGACAAAATGAACAGAGACAGCCTTTTTAAAGAAAAAAAAAAGATTTTATTCATTTGAGAGAGAGAGAGAGAGCACGAGTGAGGGAGTCGGGGGAGGGGCAGGAGCAGAGGGCGCAGCAGGTGCCCGCCCAGCAGGGAGCTGGTGCCGCAGGACTCGATGGAACCCGGTCCCCCGGGGTCATGACCTGAGCCGGATCAGATGCTTGACCAACTGAGCCACCAGGCGCCCCGGAAACAGCCTCCTTGTTGCTCTGGTAATCTGTCAAAAGCATGAAACAATGTGAGAAGCGTTTCCTCTTGACAAAGTGCTGACCTTCCGGCCGAGCAGCAGGCCTAGTGGCGTTCCTGCCTGGGGGGCCTCGCGGTGGCTGCAGCCCCAGCTTGACCCGGGAGGCTGGGCCGGGCTTGCTCACCTGGCAGGGGGCCTGCTCTTCCCCCCAGGGCATTTCCAATATTCTCATCTTATATGCTACGTTGCAGCTCATCCTTATAACTTAAGTGGTGATGTTAATAATTATTCACAGAGGATACATTCTTAGAATTTGGGATCAAATTTGATACCTGTTTTCAAAACTGTCTTTCAGGACGTTTTACCAGTGAGCATCTTCACCAGCAGTGTATGCAGGGATCTCACCATTAAAATATTTGAATTGAGAGCAACACACATTCCATAAAATTGTATATTTTAAATTTTTAAATTGAGAGAAACACATTCCATAAAATTGTATATTTTAAATTTTTAAATTGAGAGAAACACATTCCATAAAATTGTATATTTTAAATTTTTAAATTGAGAGAAACACCCATTTCATAAAATTATATACTTTTAAGGTATGCAATTCAGCGGTTTTAGTATGTTCACGAAGTTGTGAATTATCGTCATTATCTAATTCTGAAATGTTTTCACAATTTCACAAAGAAGTCTTATACTCAGCAATCATTCCCCATTGCCTCCTTCTCTCAACCCCCAGTAGCCATTAATTTACTTTCTATTTCTATGGATTTGCCTGTTCTGGACATTTCCTATGCATGGAATCATTCAGTATGTGACCTTTTGTGTTTAACTTCTTTTATTTCACATAATGTTTTCAAGATTGTAAGGTTAATAATGTTTTCAAGGTTATAGCATAAATCAGTCCTTCATTCTTTTTTATGGCTGAAAAATATTCTGTAGTACGGATATACCACTTTCTGTTTATTCATCTTGATGGAGATTTGGGAAGTTTCCAATTTTGGGACTATTGTAAGTAATGTTTCTATGCACATTCATGTACCAGTTTTTGTGTGGACACGTGTCTTCCGGGTCTCTTAGGTTTATACACCTAGGCATGGAATTGTTGGATCATATGCTTATCCTGTTTAACTTTTTGAGGAACTACAAATTGTTTCTAAAGCTGCTGTACCATTTTACATTCTTACCAGCAATGTGGTGAGGATCCCAGTTTCTCCCCGTCCTCACCAAAACTTTATTGTCTGTCCTCATGCTTATGGCCATCTTAGTGAGCATGAAATGGTATCTCTTTGTGGTTCCAGTTTGCATTTTCCTAATAACCTATGATGTTGAGACTCTTTCATATGCTTATTGGCCATTTGTAGATCTTTGGAGAAATGTCTTCTCAGACCCTTTGCCAGTTTTTAATCAGGATGTTTGTCTTTTTATTGTAGAATTGTAAGAATTAGTTATATATTCTGGGTACTAGAATCTTATCAGATATATGATTTGCAGATATATTCTCTCATTCCGTAGGTTGTCTTTTCATTCCCTTGATAGTATCCTTTGGAATACAGAAGTTTTAATCTTGATAACATTCTATTGGCTTTTTTCTTTTTTTCACTTGTGCTTTTGGTGTCATATCTAAGAAACCATTGTCTTATCCAAAATTACAAAGGTTTACACCTATATTTTCTTCTAAGATTTCTATAGTTTTAGCTCTTCCATTTAGATATTTGGTCTGTTTTAATTTTTATATATGGTGTGAGTTAGGGATCCAAATGTATTCTTTTGCGTGTAATTATCCAGTTGTCCCAGCACCATGTATCAAAAAAGAGTATTCTTTCCCCATTGATTGTCATAACCTGTCAAAAATCAGTTTGACCATAAATACAAAATTTACTTCTGTGCTCTCAATTCTATTCTGTTGATCTGTAGCCCTATCCTTATGCCCGTATCACACAGTCTTGATTATTGTCACTTTGTAGCAGTGTGGTTATTGGGAAATGTAAGTTTTCCAACTTTGTCCTTGTTCAGGATTGTTTTGCCTATCCTGGGTCTCTTATATATTTTCATAAGAATTTTAAGATTAGTTCGTTAATTTCTGCAAAAAGCCACTGGGATTTGATAGGGATTGCATTAAGTCTACAGATCAGTTTGAGGATTATTGCCATTTTAACAATGTTAAGTTTTTTGGTAATGAACACGGGTTATTTTCCAGTTGTTTAGGTCTTCTCTAATTTCTTTTAGTGATGTTTGGTAACTTTCAGTGTTTAAATCTTGTACTTCTTTTGTTAAATTCATTACTGAGCATTTGCATTTAATTTTTTCTGGTTGTGGTGTAAATGAAATTCTGTTAACTTCATTTTTAAACTATTTGTTGGTAGTGCATAAAAATGCAGTTGTCTCGTGTTTTGATCATGTATCTTGAAACTTTGCTGAACTTGGTGTCTAGATCTATAGTGTTTCAGTGAATTAACTAGGATTTTCTATAGAGAAGATAATGTCATCTGCAAAGAGAGATAGTTTTACTTCTTTCCAATATGGATGCTTTTATTTCTTTTTCTTGCCTACTTGCCGTGGCTAGAAGCAACAATACGATGTTGAATAGAAGTCATGAGAGCAGACATCCTGGTCTTGTTCCTATGTCAGTTCCCATTTAACAAAGTGGCCAATATTGTTTATGTTAGTTTTTTTTTAAAGATTTTATTATTTTATTTATTCATGAGAGACACACAGAGATAGGCAGAGACAACACAGGCAGAGGGAAAAGCAGGCTCCATGCAGGAAGCCCCACATGGGACTCGATCCCAGGACCCTGGGGTCACGCCCTGAGCCGAAGGCAGATGCTCAACCACTAGGTCCCCCAGGCGTCCCTGTGCTAGTTTTTGATGCCTGTTTTTATACTATAAGAATCTGAGTGAAGGAGCAGGAGTTGCTGATTGTTTTCTCCTATGGAAGGAACAAACGAAAATTCCTTTTTTTCTGTGCATCTGAAGGCTTGGCCTGGTAGTTAATAGGGAAAAAGAATGTATTTTAATTGAAGAATCTATTTATGTAACATCTAGGTGCCAAGGAGTTTGATTAATGCTTCCTAGGATATAAGTGATCATTACTTAAGAATAAAACTTAATTTTTCCCTGCTAGTTTTTCCATCCTACCTTTCCATATGTTTGGCTGCCCATTATGTGCTTCGGGTACCGTGCTGGGATCAGAAAGATGAGTTAAACACACACCTTATCTTCAGGGTGCTCATGGGGAAATCTTGGGGGAGACCGATAGGAAACAGGAAGTTTAATATTCCGGCAAGTGGTTCCCATCCAGGGTAATCTGTCAGAAGGAAACAGGTAAGAGGTGTGGGCTTCCCCCTGGGGTTTCTGGGTTTCAATTTGCTGATGGAGCATTCACTTTTTACTCCATAGAATCAAGGTATTTTAGAACTGGAGGCCTGGAAATCCTTTCATCCAACTCCGTCTTTTTCACTAGGAGTCACCTCTTATCTTGTTCAACAGTTACTCTTTTCTCTTATCAGCAGCTCTTCTTTTTCTGAAATGTTCTCTCTCTCTCTCTCTCTCTCTTTCACACACACACACACCATTTTCTGGGGAGACAATCCATGTCTAGCCCGCTTCTTGGCTCCATTTGTTGCATCTGGTAATACAACGCCAGCCTCGGTGCTCATCTTCAGTAGGGTTCATCTAGGATTCCTGCTTCCTCTTGACTGTGAAGACCACCCGGCATTGTCCTTTTGGTGGGCACTTCTGACATGGAAATGATAAGGATGGGGACATTGTCCAGCTCCACAGCTGGGTTACCCAGAAAGCTTGCTGGAGGCCTCCTGTGATGTTTCATTGTAGTTTGAATTTTCTTTGTAAAGAGAGCATTCCAGTTTAATCTTGTCAATAAGGAAGATTCACTAGGATGCATATAAAGTCCCACCTGCATGCTTGCTGCAAAGTCATCTTTCCAGAAAAGAATGAAAGTGTCATTAACAAAAGCAATGAAAAACAAACAAAAAAACCAAAAAAACCCCAAAAGCAATGAAATAGGAGTACACCTTAACAAAGTTTAGTTTTTATTTTATAAGTTAAGTCAGCATTGTATGGTATGTAGGCTTCCATTTTTATTTTGCTATTTAAAAAGAGACCTTTTATTCCAGTTTTATTATTTATTATTACAATTAAAATAACATCAGGTTACTTTTTATCATTCCAGTGGTAAAACGAATGCAAACCTTATGGTCTCAGGCTACAGAAGAAAATGAATTGTCCCCACAAACCTTTCAAGTTTAATTAACTTTTAAACAAATATGAAGTTCTCGTTGCCTTTTTTTCTTTTTTATTGCAATGCATTTTTTCCTTTAGATTATGTGAGGGGGTGAGATAAGGATGCAGGGCTGCTTTCTGGTTCGTACTGTTTACTGCATATGATACAGCAGCCAATTCAATCAGAAGGGAAATAGGAAAATACTCTATTTGTGCCTCATAAGCGGTTTGCACAGTCCCCTCCAGTCCCTACGATTAAATGTTGGCTTCTCTCCTCACAGGCTTCTAAAATGAAATTAGAAAGTGGAGGAAGCAGCGTTTTAAGACCAGACACAAATACTGTGTGGGGACAAACCGGGCAAATCGGAGAATTGCAGCACTTGATTTGGTGCTGAGAGATTGCAACGGAAAACCAAAGGAGATGGGAGCAGACCCGGAGCAGCTCGTAGGCCATGGAACAGGGGGTCAGTGGGGTGGGGAGGGGAGGGCCGGGTGGATTGGTGTTTACAGCAGCAGAGCCTTCCCTGCACAGTAAGATGCACCGTCGTGAAGTCACTCGACCTGGGTCTCAGCTTTACGGTGGCCCTGGACTTGCTGGTGGGGGCGCGGGGAGGCTGGCGTGTAGAGGGCCCTTTCTAGAAAGGGGGGTGGCTCTGTTGGGGGAAAGAGTGTTTGGGCTGGCAGCCAGGACCTGAGTCCTGCTCTTGGTCCTGCTGCCTTCAGACCATGTGGCCTCGGATGGGGTCCCCTCACCCCTCTGGACCAGGCGCAGGGGGTGGCTCTGGCCTCCATCTTTGTTGTCCAACCCAAGTTCCCCAGCCTCCTCTGAGCCATCTCGGAGGCTGTGCCAACGCCAACAGTTGGGGTCCCTGGCCCCTGCCTCCCAAAGGGAGCAGCCTCAGTTTCCCCTTTCCTATTTATGCTTCTACAAGTGATCGTCTGAACCAAGTGGTCACTAGATGTCTGAAAACTCCTCGGGGGCTTGATCTCGAAGATTCTGTGGCTCTTGTGTCCTGAGTGTCTGTAACACCAACCTCTTGGGTGCTTGTGCAGGGATCGAGGAACACCCATCACCCTGGCGTCTCCCACCTTTCTTGGGCGACACCGGGAGCAGGGACAGTGGTGCTCCCCAGGGACAGTGGCGCTGCGGTGGGGGACGGGGCTGGGTGTGGGGTGCCGGCCTTGGACCCCAGGGGCCGACTGCTGCCCTCCTGTCCCCGTAGCTTCCCCAAGGCTCTGAGACCAGCCAGGCTGGTGCAGGTGGCCTCCGCCCGGGACCCGCCAACTGCCTGCAGGTGGCAGGTGCCATCGGGCTGCGCAACCCGAACTGGACCCCTGGCCCGGGCGCCGGCTGGTCTGAGTTCTGGGGCCTTGGCCCCGCACCACGTCCTCGCCTGGCCGGGCATCTGCTCCTTCCACCTGGGGACCTACCTGCGTGCCCACCGGCCTCCTCCACGACCTGAGCCCGGGCGGCCCTCGTGGCCACTGAGCGTCGGGCCTGGAGCTTTGGTCCCTGGTTTCCAATGGCCACGGGCGGGGTGCCGGGGGAACCCTGCTCCTGGGAGGACGTGTGGCGGGAGCCAGGGATGCAGAGGATGCGATGGGGGTTTGTTGGGAGCCAGGGCTTGCTGTGTCGGAGGGGACTCGGGCCCGTGTCCGCACCCATGGTACCTCACGTCCCTGCCCCTTGCCAGCTTTGTAATGGGCCCCCTGCGCTGGCCCCGCGCTTGTCGTGGGGCTGCCCCGGGGAGCTGGCAGTGCTGGTGCGCGGTGCTCCGGGCTTTGCGGGGGAGCTCCTGCAGGTGGGCAGGGGCCCAGGGTGAGCAGCCGGCCAGGCACCCAGGATGAGCACAGCCGGGTGCCCAGGATGAGCAGCCCAGGGTGAGCAGCCGGACAGGCAGGAGGCGGGTGCTGCAGTCGAGCCCAGGACCTGCGGCCTGCAGGATGACCCCGAGGGCGCACAAAGGAGCGCAGGGCCGTCTGGGTGGCGGGTGCGGGGGAGTTGGGGAGCTTGGGGCCGCACAGAGGCCGGTGAGGGACGGAGCAGAGCCTGGCGGGATGAGCCGGGCCCAGGCTGGGAGGGACCCGGGCTAGTTTCCCGACTGCTCATCAGTGTGGATTCCACCCAGGCACAATCAGGCAGCTCGGGGTAGGAGGGTGCGAGGCCGGTGGCCGGCGGTGAGCTAGGCCCGGGGCGGGTGGCCGGGGCCAGCCCTGCCTTTGCACCTTCGGGCTGCGGGTAGGGGACTTCACTGTGCCTCTCTTGCCTGTCTTTCAAACAGGGATAAAAATCCTCCCTACCTTACAGGGTTCTTGTGAGGAATGAATAAGTGGACTCACTCAAGGGCTTACACAAATGGGTGCAGAGTAAGCACCTATTAAAATTCTTTGTTTGGGGGGTGGGGACACAGTGTGTTTCTCACGAGTGGCCTCTTTAGACTGTGTATCACTTGGCTCTGGCCGTGTGAAAAATACCCGGGGACACGGGGGCTTAGAACAGCAGTTATTTGCTGAGGCTCCTGCAGTCGCGCGCCCTCCCCCCCACTCCGGGCTGGGCTGGGCCCAACCGGGCTCCACTGAGCAGCTGTGCTTCAGGCTCCCACCCAGCTGGGAACGCACACTGGGCTTTCGCCTGCCTCAGGTGGGATCCACGCCGAGGACAGCAGCTATGTGGGGCAGCTCTTCCTCAGGCGTCTGTGGAGCTGGAAGGGGTAAGAAGAAGCCTGCAGGGGCGTCCTACTGCCTGGATTCCTTCCAGCCGAAGCCATTCACAGGCCAGGCCCCAAATCAAGGGACAGGGGATTATTTTGATCCCCATCAGTGGGAGGAGCCACAGAGTCCCCTTGGTGCAGGGCGATCAACACAGGGAGGGTCACAGCTTGGGGCCAGCTGTGTGAGGGACCATAGGCTGCTCTGGTGTCTCCTGCAGCTGCAGCTTCCAAGAGGGAGCACCTGCAGCTTCCAAGAGGGAGCCCCTGCGGGGCAGAGTCAGCGCCCACCGTGGGCGAACCTGAACCACGGGGGCTGCAGTGACCCGCTGTCCCAGCGCCCTCCCCAGGCCTTGCGAATGCTTGCTCTTGCTCGAGTCTTTGGAGGAGACCACGTGTTTTAGGGGAAAATATATTGATGTGGGTTTGACTTTAGACTCTGCGGGATGAAATGGGCTTGGACATATTCTCCCGTAATATCTCAGAAAGGGTGAAGACGGGCAGAGGAAGGCTCTGCAGCCTCTCAGCCTTCCCGGTGATTCGCTCGGACGTGTTCATAGCAGATGTCAACAGCTACGATACGACTTCGCTGTTTAAGCTCGAGAATGAACAGTGCGTTTGTTTCTATGTGTTTTTAGAGCTGTCTCTCTGTCTCTCTCTGTCTCTGGATGCAGTGGAAGGAGTTCTGTTTTTTCCTGGGCTCCCTGGCATTTGCTTCCTACTCCCTGGGACCCTCGGGTGAGGTGAGCGTGCCTCTCCAGGGGACGCCCCCAGCAAACGCTGGGCAGGGGGCACGGGAGAGGCGGCCTGGTTGGTAGTTAGGAGTAAGCAACATACCTCGTTCTCCCAGACAGCTCCTGAGCAGGATGGGGACCGAGGGAGGAGTCGGATACAGTTGCTTTGCCAACATGTAAGATAATCTCTCTTGCTCTTCCTGGGCCTCCTTTTGCCGTGTGACAAATACATCCATTCTTCTCCAACAGAAACGAGAGAAGCAGGGACAGGGAGATGTTCTTACAGGTTAGACTTCTCTGCTTTATGTATGAGACTATAAGCGTACTATGACACGAAATAACGAACTTCTTAATATGCTAGTCATTCCTTAGATTAAACAATTAAGCAAGATCTCTAAAATCACACTTAAGTATGATATCAAGTCGGGCAATTTTTAAAGATACCAGTTGGAATTATGTTCTAGAATTTTCTGGTAATGAAAATAACGCTGGAAATAAACATTCAGCAGTGTGACTGACACATATAAAGTGCTCGGTAAATTGTAGCACTGATGATAACGATGGTGGTGGTGACAGTGTCTAGAGAACTAGTCCATTGATGGTTGGAGAGGATTAGAAAGAGTTCACAAGGCTGAGGACTCTCATCAGCTGCCTCTCTCCAGGGGAACCTCTCTCAGACATTCCTTCCCTACGTGGAAAAGCAACAGGCAAACGAACCCAGGCAAGCTCAGTCTCTAAAACCAAGCCAAGTGTACACTTTAGAAGCTACAATTTTTTTTCCCCTTAAAGTGGTTGCTACTAAAAAGCACAATTCAAAATAGTCACTGCAAGAACAGACATGCTGCAATCCTAATGGTGCAATTCTATTTTGTTGAGTCAAAAAAATAGGGCTGGTAATGACGAGTCGTAGCTATGCAAATGAAAGATCATCATGTCTTACGCTTCAGGGTGTGAGTTGATGGCAAAAATCTGTCCATGTTACTTGGTAGGAGAGATGAATTCAGATGAAAACATTTAGTTATATATATATATATATATATATATATATATTTAATTTTTTATTTTTAAAATTTTTTATTTATTTATGATAGACATAGAGAGAGAGAGGCAGAGACACAGGCAGGCAGAGGGAGAAGCAGACTCCATGCCAGGAGCCCAACGTGGGACTCAATCCCGGGACTCCAGGATTGTGGCCCAGCCAAAGGCAGGTGCGAAACCGCTGAGCCACCCAGGGATCCCCTATATATATATTTATATATATTTTTATATATAAATATTTTTATATTTTTATTTAATATAATTATAAAATATTTTTATATTTATGTATTATATATATTATATATATATATAATATATACACACACACACACACACACATTTTTTTCCTTAAGCATCGTTTATGGATGAAACACTAAAATAATTGTTGCTCTATTGGCAGGCTTCCCTGGGTGTCTGTTGTGGGCAAGGCTCAGCAAATGAGTCTGCCCTTCCTTCCTTCCTTCCTTCTTTCCTTCTTTCTCCAACAAACACAGCCTTTACTTTCTAGGAGCTTATATCTTAAAGGGAATGGCAAGATGCAGACATTAGGGGAAAAAAACAAGTCCAAGTTTACATAGTATGTATTACGTATGGTAGGTTTCTAATATATTTGGAGGAAAAATCAATAGAGTGAAAATGATAGTTCTAAATCTTGACTAAATCAAGTCATGAATTCTTCAACTTTCAGTGTTTTCAGGCCAAGGGGCATTATATTCAGGTATATTAGGGTTAGAATAATATTGCCTGTCACCCAAGAAGTAGCCCCTCCATAATAATGAGCAGAGAATTCAGACAGCAGTTGGAGACTCAGCTACCGTGTGCTCATAGGCCCTACAAATGCATTCTCAGAGCCTTCCACTGAATGGGAAGAACTGATTTCAAATAGGAATTATTGCTTAGTGCCTGAAATGAAGGCAAAATGCCCTGAGGGTCATTTGATTTTTTTATAATCTCTTACTGAGATTTCTTATGAAACTACTGTGTGTATTTGGGTTTTTACTCTGAGGTTTTTGTACTTTTTATTTAAAAAGGGGACTGGAATAACTTCCTGACTACATGTAACAGCAGCGTGCTAAAGTTTTCAAAATAAATAAAAAAAAAATAAGTCAACGAGGAGGAATTAATTATTTAATAAATGCTTTGCACATAAGAAGATGTCACTTTGGACCCCACCAAGTATTACCGTATCTTATAAATAAACTACACAGAGAGTTGAATATTGCATATCAAATTATAGAAAAACTGGCAGAAAATGTTTATTAGGTCTGCATAGGAACGACAGTTTTCATGGCTTGAATGCAAAAGAAATAACCAGTGAAACAAAAAACAAGTAGACTTGAATAGATTAAAATAGAAAACTTTGGGGCAGCCTCGGTGGCTCAGCGGTTTAGCGCCGCCTTCGGCCCAGGGCGTGACCTTGGAGACCCGGGATTGAGTCCCACGTCGGGCTCCCTGCATGGAGCCTGCTTCTCCCTCTGCCTCTCTCTCTGTGTCTCTCATGAATAAATAAATAAAATCTTTAAAAAAATAAAAATAGAGCTCTGGCCTTTAAGAAAAATAAATAAAATTGAAAACTTCTATATAAATGAAGAGACAACAGACTGGAAAAATTTGCATTAAATTTGTGACACATAAATGATCGATATGTGTTATAACTTGAATATATAGCTTACTCAAACATGTAAGAAAAGGGTGGGGGCCCCAATAGATGTAAAATATAATAGCTACCATTTATTGAATATTTTTTATGCCCACATAGATTTGCAAAATCAGATTATACTGTTTTACCTACAGAATGTTCTGCAACCAGCTTTCCTCACATGCCCAGACTATGTTACTAATTAACCTTCTAAAACATGGTTTTCAGCGGCAGCGAACTACCTCATTGGTAAGGCCGTTCAGCCCGATTTTACTTACCCGAGCTTTCACTGCTGGATGTTGAGGTTATGGAAATACAGCGAGGGGCGGTTTCCTGGTATCTCTTCTCCTTGTGAAGCCACCGTCTGTCGTTGGGGCTGTGGTTGTGCAAAAATACATCTCAGTGAATGAAACAGTGACTCACAAAGGAGCGCACTCGATACTGGTTTATCAGTGACTTTATGGGTAGCATCTGCCACCGAACCCGGGTTCAGTGGAAGACGAGCTATTGCTAGAGATCCCGTGCTTTGCACAGCTTCGCGTGGCGCGTCACCCCGTGTGCTGAGGGTGAGTAAGAGGCCCGTTGACCACCGTCCCCGTGAGCATCTCCAGGGCGGCCGCGACTACGGGGCTGCCAGGAGGGCACTTGTCAAGCGCGTCGTCCCCTCATCTTGTTCCATAGCAGAGGAAGTAAAGGCGCGGGAGGCAGAGCTTGGAGGCCACACAGCAGGTGACCAGCTGGGAAGGCCTGGAGCCAGTGGCCCCAGCGCTGCCCCCGGGTGTGCCTGGTGCGCTGCAGGCGGGAAATGACGGCCCTGGGGACAGTGGCAAGCCGTGTTTGGCGGCGGTGAGTCCTCCGTGGCCTTCTCTAGAGCTCCCGAGGCTGCTTTCCTGCTGAGGTTCTGATCTACCGCGCAGAACTCAGAGGTCTCGGCCACGTACCCTCCTCCTTGCTTCGGGTGGCAGGAGTCCCTGCGGCCACCCTCTGCTGCCGGATGGGGGGACACCGGGTGTGGGCCCGAGTCATTCCTTAGGGCTTTCAGGCTCCTCCTGTGGCTTGTGCCGGTAGCTCCCGAGGGATCCCCTGATTCAGGCGCCATCCTGATTCCTTCCCCATCCACCCCTTGCCCGGGGCTCCGGGGTCTCAGAGGCACCTGTCAGCGCCAGGTGAGCTCATGGAGGGCACGTTCGCCTTGTTTTGTGTCCTTTTGAGTGATGGATTCTGAATCCGTGGATGGCCTCCTATTCCTAGGCGGCTAACAGAATCACTGAAGGACATGCTGTCGTTGAAAACGACCACCAAGGGGTTTGGCATGCTTGTGAGTTCTAGGGTGTTCGCAGGCTGTCGGCAACAAACCTGTTAGCTCCTGCAATCATGATTATCTTAATTTCATTGACACCCCCCCCTTTATAGGACGTAACTAAGGATTTAATCTCCGAGGGTTGACTAGAGAGAGGACTCTGCTTTTGCTTTCGAACTTTGAAAGAAGGGCACTTGGGTGGCTGAGCGTCCGCCTTCGGCTCAGGGCGCGAGGCCCGGCGGGCTCCCCTGCAGGGAGCCTGCTTCTCCCTTTGCCTGCGTCTCTGCCTCTCTCTCCGTGTCTCTCATGAATAAATAAATAAAATCTTTAAAAAATATATGTAGAACTTTGAAAGAAGGTGGAATTCTGAGTTCATTTGCTCTTTTGCTCAGTCTAGAATGAGCTGGGCATGCTTCCGGGGAGAACACAGGCCCGGCTCTACTGACTTCCCATTGCTTCAAACCTGGGCTGCAGATTGGCAGCATCAGGATCGCCCAAGAGCTTGTTCGAAGTGCACCTTCTCGGGCTGCATCCCTGTGTTTTCAACACCCCCTCAAGGTGGTGTAAGAACTTGAACAGAAGACATGCTCAAAGATGAGACGTGCTGGTATAGACCATGTAGATTGTTCAAACTGTGGTTCATGCTCTTTCCGGATCAGATTAGCTATTTGTATATTTTGACCCTTAAGAAACATTTTAGTCCTTTGACATTTTAATAATTTGTCTTTTTAAAATTTGCTTTTCGTTATAAATCACTACACTCTCATTCTAGAAGCTTCAGAAAATACAGAAAAATGACACGTGAAGAGCAATTTATCCCTCAGGCACACTCATTGATAACATTTTAAAGGTACATTTTGTCTTTTCTGTGCATCCTTTTTTATTTTTATTTTTATTTATTTATTTAGTAGAGGGGCTTCCTCCTTTTTTTTTTTTTAAGATTTTATTTATTTATTTATTCATGAGAGACACAGAGAGAAAGAGAGGCAGAGACACAGAGGAAGAAGCAGGCTCCATCCAGGGAGCCCGATGTGGGACTCGATCCCGGGTCTCTAGGATCAAGCCCTGGGCTGAAGGTGGCCACCTGGGTTGCCCCTGCATCATTTTTTAAAACTTCGTTTTGTTTTGTTTTGTTTTTTTCTTTCCTGATTGTGGACATTATATGTTACCCTTTTGGAAAAATCAAGAAAGTAGGAAAAAAACACAACACAGAGAACAGAAACCATTCTACATAAGCAGGTAAACGTTTGGATTTTACATAGTGTTATAAAGCAGCGTTTCAGAGTCTTTGCTTCTTTCCTTTGGTTTTAGAGGATCTTCTCAGATCATCTCAGTCTTTAGTTCTTATGCTACTTATAGGTCTGTTTCTCCACTTAATTTTTAAAATTTTATATAACTTAAATAGAATTCTGGTATAATCATTAGTAGAGTCTCAAATAGTTATTTTATGGTTAGAATGGGGAATTTATTCACTTCCTTGTGCAACCAAAACTTTTAGTTAACTAACTCACCAGTGGGGCATATTTTATATTATTTAGGAATCCTCTTTGATCAGAAACTTCTTGGTGAGTAGAAAAGCTTTTGCTTTTGAAGGATGTCTGACTACCTTCCTCTGAACCTGCCTGATAGGTTGTCTTTTGGAGGGGAGAAGGAGGGACTGGTTGGATTCATGATCCTTGAGAGAAAATCCTTTTTTATCCTTAGGTCAACTGAGTAGAAACTTCTGGATCACTGGGGAATACCATGGCAGGGGAGCAAGTTTTTGTTACTTGGGCTCTTTGGTGAGACTGGAAAAATGCAGGACAGAGTGAATCTTTGCCCATATTTCTGTTTTTTTAGGTAGTGTGGGAGCAAATTTGGCATGTGATTATTAACATCTGCCGAATAACCGGCGTCAGTGTTTGAGGCAGGGCAGGGGACGCTGGTCGGGATTTCCCCTGTACCATCTTCGCCGTGCTTTGTTTTGGAATACATCGCGGCCCTTGATAACGCAGAATGTATCATGTCAAGTGAAGAATTCACTGCATTTTTTTTCTGTCCATAGACTAAGCTCTTTCCCCGAGTCTAGTTGTTCTAAGAGTACTTGATGCCATTTACTATTCAGAGGAACACAGTTCAGAAGCTAACGTAAGAAGTATTTCCAAATTTCAACCTGTATTTGCCCTTTTCTAATTTATTTATTTATTTATTTATTTATTTATTTATTTATTTATTTATTTAATTTTTATTTTTTTGTATTTGCCCTTTTCAAAGAACATTAATAGGGATTTAATGTATATTTCTAGAAATGCTAAGTAATGTCTCTAAAAGTTCTCTTGCTTCTCTCCTAACTCATGCAGTTCAGGATCACCTCTCCTCAAAAATCCTTTTTGCTCTTCTGGTTCCTTCCCTTTCTGAAGTTCGGGTCACTCCTTTCCTTGCTGTTCTTTATCGGGTCGATCGCTTTAGCCCCACTGACTTCTTATAGTTTTCCTCCTGGTAATTCCCAACCAGGGGTAGTCTCGGAATGACCCATCACCAGGAATTTGTCCGTTTTGTGGGTGGGGGGGGTGGGCGTGGCCTCGCGGGACCTGAGGGGGAAGGACTGTGGCCTGGCATTGATGACAACTGTACTCCATTAGCCAGGCCTCAGGCGATGCCCCGTAGCCCGTGCCGAACTGCCCCCGTGATACAGACTGTGTGTCCCTAAGCGCGGAGTCCCTGCACTGAACTGCTTAGAATTTATGGGTTTTTGTCCATTGGAAAACTGTTGTCATGATGCACAAAACTGGCTGATTAGGACTGAATGCAACTGGAAGACAGCAGAGCCCCAGGTACCACCCCCAAACCCTGCTGTGTCACCCATCTTGGTTGATAGCGTCTTATTCATGTTGAGAAGCTGGTTGGGCGGGAAGGACGTGTGGTCTGGATGTTGCATTAGCCAACTTGGCATTTAAATTTGCTAAAGACCTTTGGGGCATTGCAACATTTAAAGAAATGTCCCTGCGGTAAATCCCGATGCTCTTGTCTCCTGTAATCCTGCGTGTTATTCTTTTACGCCAGCGTGACGTCTTTTTATAGCATTGTTGCACATCCAGTTGCCTGCGGTGCTAAGCTGTGTTCTTTATTGTGATGCTTGGTCCCAGTTCAAAAAAAACTTACACTCAAAGCCACAAACAGTTTTCATTTTTATTAATGGAACCTTAGGATTTTTTCCCCAGGCAAATACGTCGGCTTTTTTTTTCTTTTCTTTTGCATGTTAGCTTTTTGTCCTTTTTGTTGTTCTCTTGAAATATAGAGACATGCATTTTTTGAAATATTGAAAATTTGAATATTTTCAATAGTTTGAAAAATACTGCAGAGTTTTGAGTGAATGAAAATTTGGTGGATGGGGCACTTTTCTCTGTGATTGATCAAGAGGTGTACGTGTCGGAAGCATACATCTCGCTCCCTGATCCTCTTGGGTTTTGTTTCTTGCATCTATTCCTGTGAATGTTAGGCTTCCTTGATGTTTCCCAACATGCTAGCCCTGATCTGCCACAGGACCTTTGCATTTAATGCTGCCTTGAGTGCCTTTCCCCATGCATCTGCAAGGCTGGCTCCCTCACACCCTTCAGACTCAAACAGGAGCTTCTCCCTGAGGGAGTTCTTAGCTACCCGTCTATAATCCCACCCTTCCTTTTGGCCCCATAACATGTTATATCCTGCTCTTCCCTATTGTTTTGTTCTCTTCTCCTTGGCACATGTCGGTATCTGTTTAGCACAGTGCAGCTGACTCTTGAACAACGTGGGGGTCAGGAGCGTCCAGCCCTGTGCTGAAAACCCTCATGGAACTTCCGACTCCCCCAGAACTTAACTACCGCAGGCTACTGCTGATCAGAAGCTTGAGCGACCGCACCCGCAGTTGACGCACACAGGTTTCGTATGCTCTGTGCATCGTACGCTGTATTCTTACAAGGCCCTAAGCTAGATAAAGGTCCAGAAAGTCCCAAGGAGGAGAAAAGACATTTAGGCTGTTGCACTGAAGAAAATCCACACGCAAGTGGACCTAG